TGTGGGCATTAACAGCAATGGAAAGCTTTAAAAATAAACAAGAAAGCAAGCAAAAAAGGAAATCCTTAGGTGTTTACAGAAATCCCTTCCCAAGGGGAAGGATAGGTTGAAGCAAAGTCTGAAGCTGCCTGCTGAATTTTCAAACAAGCTGGCACATGGGCTGACATCAGCACCCAAGAATAAAGGTCAGTGCCACACTAGAGCAGGAAATGCCTTGAAAACGAAGGCAAGTGGTTTGCATTGCATTTACATATCTGGAGGAAGCAAGAAAGTTGGTGGCATAGGGAAAGTAGATTAGGTAAAACCACTTCTGCAGAAACCTTCTACATTAGTATCAAAGGGGTGAAATCATACTGGTCAAAGCCAGGTATCATTTGGCTTTACTTTTTTTTTTTACCTGATGTCCTGTTTTCCTCAGCCTGCTTCAGATTCAACTGCTTCTCTCTGCTACTGTTCAAGTACTTCCACGCTGGATCACTCAAGGCTTTATTATTCCTACAGACAGAAGAGTGGAAGGCAGTGTCATTATAGAAGATACAGAGTATTTCTGCTCAATATTTACAACTTGTTTTAAAGCATTTCTCTCCTATCACCTTTAACACGACTATGGAACAGTAAACCTTCACTCACAGGCAAGTTTAACCAATTCATTTGAACAAGCCTCTTACTTAAAATTAAATGCAACTTCAAGCACATGGAGCTTATTCTCCAAATGGTAATTTCCTTTTATCAATTTTGTTTTGAAAGGGGTCAAAGCAAGTTCAATAAAGAAGGCTCCTGTTGCTACACACACAGAGCACACATGGCAATCCTGACATAACTGGCAAAAGAAAGATGACACAAAATTTGCATGTGCCAGTTGCTGAAAACCAACTGCTAGAATAGTTTCTATTTCCCCTATTAATGCTGAAAACATACCTCCTTTCAAGCACTCAATGTGCTCAGAAGTTGACTGGCCTGTACCATGTGGCTGAGAGCATTCTTTTCAGAAAGATATACCCTTACACATGAACAAGGAGCTTAAAATCAGAAAGAACTGTGACTTACGTTGAAGAATCATTCTCTTTGGGATAATCTTCACTCATTTCTGAACCAGGGGGTTGTGTTCTTTTTCTCTTTTCACTGATGACAGAAAATTTGTGGTCATTCTTTCAGAAGAGTTAGTAAACGACTCTTTTCCAACTCAACAGAATTCCTCAATGCTTTCCATGCATTTTGTAGCTATCTTCCCCAATCTCCACTTTCATAACACACAGAGAAGAATCTGGTCTGCCCAACTCTGAAGTTGTACTTAAAGCTCCAGTGGCAGCACTAGCCAGAGGCTTGAAAAGCACACATTGGCATCCTGTTACAAGTAACAGCAAAACTAGAGGAAAAAATATACTCCCTTCTTACATGCAGGTGCACTAAGTTCCACCTGCAGCTCTATAAACAGCTAAATTTTAACAATATCATAACAAGAGAATATTCCTCCTACCGGTTCTCCAACAGGCCTGCTCTGTGAGGGACTGATGATGTAGGAGATGCTGAAATGTTCACCCTGTTGCTTGGTGTTCCAGCTCCAGCAGAATTCTTAGGAGAGCCTCTGGCTGGGGTACTCAGCACCTTGCGAAATGTATTTTCCTCCTTACTTTCCACAGTCACTCGTTTCGGGGGAGTCTGCAAAAGCCAAGTGGAGGGGGCCAGGTAGACAAGCCAAGAGTGAAAAACAGGACCATCTTTAGCCTAAGCTAGCATTTACACCACTGCTTTACTTGCTACAGCGTAGAATCCAAAAGCAGAGAAATTCTGCTTGTAGACATGAGAGTCTGACACTAATCAGATGTACGTAAAATTTGGGCTGCATCATTCAAGTCCACAAACATGAAACTCTACTGCAGTAATTAATTTCTCTTCTCATTTTCTAGTGCTAAGTCAGTTGAACTTTAGTTTTCAAAATGTCCTTTACATGCTCTGACATTAAAAAACTCAAGGCATGTTTCCTAACTATCCCCAGATCAATCCTGGGTGGTATTACAATAAAATAATTTTTAAAAAAAAGTTGTATTAAATCCTACATAATTAAAACAGTGCCCCAACAGCCTTCAGCCAAGCAACTTCATGTGTAATGTAATGGAAAGAGCAAATAATTGGCTGACTAAGGCATGTTGGTCAATTTTAGACTTGAAAACTAAACATGTCTAATCTCACCACAGCCTTAAGTTTTTACTGTGAGGCGGCCTATAAGCAATATGTAAAATTAGGTTTGGGACAAAGTAAAAAATATTCTCCCTCGGGGCAATAATACAAGTGTATTCACAGAAATAACAAAGTAAATTAAAGCTGGTAGATACATCATGAAATCTGGGGAGAAAAGGAAGAACATAAATATTTTGAGGGAAAATCACTTTCATGGAAAAGCCTGCAAAATGTACACAAAACTCTTGAGCAGGATGTCACAAATTCATTAACTTTATACTGATATGAACCCGGGGCAGCAGCTTTTTGGTATATATATGTGGTTCAGGCCAGCTAAACTCATTAAGACCTATGCTAACTTAATGTGATCAGCTGATACCTAATGTGTTCAGCATAAAACAAAGAGATATTCAGAACTATGAGAAACACATTTTAATCATGTACTTTCCTTCTGTTTTTGCTTCTTCTCTGCCTAGTAGCTCATATGTAAAGAACATATTCTGCCTTCCACAGCCAGACACTGACCTTTCTTACTCATACAGAAGATATGGCTCCTCACAAGCTAGAAACACCATTGCCAACCACCCAGTACACAGCTATTCCAGCCTCTCTAGATTACAAAGACTTTGGATGCAAAATAAGTATTTACAGTCCTCTTACAACATACAATATGAGAATGAGAGGAGGAGAGGAATGAAATAAAATTAGAGACGAAAAAATTGAATGATTAAACAAACCTGGTTCTCTATATAAGAGAATTGCCTGTTAGCTTCCTTCTGTGTGGTCCTGCTGCCCAGAACACCTCCAAAGCTGCCAGATCCTTGAGAGGGTTTCCCAGCTGACAGGAAGAGTACACAGTATTTGATTTGATTGTCATTTAACTCACTGACATTCTTATTTGTAAAATGTTATTTAGTTGGAGTTGATTTTGGAAAGAACATGCTGGATTTCTTGCCAAAGACTACGATATTCTGAGTGCACAGTCACAAGCACATGTTTATGGATATCCCTCATATTGGTCATTTACCCACTTGGCAGTAAAGTTCCTATCATTAAAAAGAGCAAAATAAGATGTAAAATGAAAAGCAAAAAGACTGCGCATGTGTAATAAGGAGACAATTTTTCAATACCAAGACACTTAGAACACAAACAGTTCCCACATGTTAATCTCTGCTTATTGTTCAGCACGAGAAAGGTATAAAGTTAAAAATGGAGTTCCAGGCCAAAAAGAAGCATTTTCACAAATGCAAAGATAGTCAGTGACACAAGAAGGACAAAATGGCTAAAGATGTATGTTAGTTTTGGCTAGAGTAGTTAATTTTCTTCACAGTAGCCACTATGGGGCTATGTTTTGGATTTGTGCTGGAAATAGTGCTGATAACACAGGGATGTTTTAGTTACTGCTGAGCCGTGCTTGCACAGAGCCAAGGCCTTTTCTGCTGTTCACACCAACCCTCCAGCGAGGAGACTGGGGGTACACAAAAAACTGGGGAGGGGGGAGACACACGTGGCTGGGACAGTTGACTGCAGCGGACTACAGGGATATCCCATCCCACATGGTGTCATGCTCAGCATATAAAGCTGGGGAAGGACGAAGGAGGGCACGTTTGGAGTGATGGCATTTGCCTTTCCAAGTCACCGTTACGTGTGATGAGTCCTGCTGTCCTGGGGGTGGCCGAGCACCTGCCCATGGAGAGTGGTTAATGAAATCTTTGTTTTGCTTTGCTTGCATGTGTAGCCTTTGCTTTACTTATTTAACTGTTTTTTATCTCAACCCACGTGTTTTCTCACTTTCACTCCTCTGACTGTCTTCCCCATCCCACCAGGAAGACTGAGCGAGCAGCTGTTTAGGGCTTAGTTGTTGCCGGATACAGTTAAACCAAGACAAGACGAAGCAAAAGAAAACACAACACTGACCCCTCTCCAAACTGTTACTAACGTGATTTACAGCTACACTTACCAGTATGAACCCTGTCTTGATGGACTGCATCCAAATACATCCGCATTTCATTGGCATCTTTAAATGGTACCTTGTCAATTGTCAGGAAGCTGGTGTCCTTTAGTGTTAGCATCAGGCAGCACAGCTTTCTGCCATTTGGTCGTAAGGTCACAGTTTTAATGTTATGGCTTAGCTGAAAACAAGAAAATGACTATAAAACATAAATCCAATTTTTAAAGGGCAAAATTACTTACAAATTCCAACAAAATACTTCAAATAGAGAGGGCAAGAGGCACTCGCACCAAAATAATTCTTGCTCCACTGCAAGCAAACTTGAAACCTCACAGAATTAATGCAATCTGTGATCTCAGCATCTGGCAGAACTGAAAGGACAGTACCACTACAGCTCAACAGTCCCTATATTCCTGGATAAGCTTTCTGAGATTTGCTTTCCTACTGAGTGTGGCATTTCTGAATGTGAAGAAATAACAACTTTATCATAAAGTCCCATTTAGTCATCTAAAACTTCCACATCAAGTCTCAAATACAATCTAAGATGGGGAAAGTTTCAAATGTTAAATAGAAACTTCTACTCACTTTCTAATTTGCTCTCAGGAAAGACAGATTTTTAAAAATTTGCTGAAGGGGTAAATCAGTAAAAAACAAGCGTAGTCTATATGCAACATTATAATAATTAAGTGGTGTCAGAGCTTTCAGGGTTATGGCTGAGTACACAATAATTTAAATAAGAATTTGTGCTCCCTAATGATGCTGCTGCTACTTTGTCATAACCTTACAAAATTGTTAACTCATGCTAAAGTCACTTATAAGAACTGGCTGGTAGGTACTGTTAACTACTACCCACACAGGTAACTCAAAAAGACTGAGATAGTAGAAGACACTCCATGTCCACCAGTGAGGTTTGGGGGTTTTTTCTATTATGATCTCTAGCTTCTTGCAAAGCCAATCTAGACACAAAAGCAGTTTGTAAGACAGGCTGGAAAACCACCTCAATCAGAAACTAAAGGTTTATTTTGCTGGGAACATTACACTTCTGAAAGGCTTTGTGCCCAAACTTTGTGTTTTGGGGTGGTGCTTGTTTGTTCTGTTTGTTGGGGTTTTTTAATACAAGCTAAAAATGTCTAAGAATTGTCTAAAAATATCTAAGAATTGAAAAGCAGGCTCCAAGCTTTTCATCCTCTTGTAAAACAATGATTGAACCCAGTGCAAGGGCATTACAGTTCCTTCACCATCTCAGTGCAAAATGACCCATTTCTACTCAAAATGCTGTCATGAGAGGTCTCCATCCACCTATTATGACCCAGTCAGTGTCATAAAGTCTTGGGATGTGTGGGTAAAATGAAGTATTTCACTTAATACAGATCTAGCACCTAGGACACCCTAGTCAAAGCTCTGAAACATCACTAAAACATTAACATCTGATATAAGGAATTTGATGACACACCTGTCACAGTAGAAAGAAATATAACCCTGGATGCATCCAAATGTTCCATTACAGAAAAGTAAAAAAACAGGCAAGGAAGTCATGCATAGTTCTCCCTGAGCAACTTGTCAAAAACCAGGGAATGCTGCTTCTAAAGCAAGATTATCAGGAATTTGACACCCCTGCAGCAGGATGCTGACAGCCTGGGGCAGCTCACACAAACTATACTCCAGAGCAAATCTGTGGCACAAGGGGCAGGCAGCTCTCCCTGCTTGCTGCTCACTCCCACAGCATTTCTGTGCCAGTGTCCAAGCTCCTTCAAGAGGAACACCACCAGAAAGCATATCCCAATAAAAAACAACCAAGATCCAAACAAAAACAATTGGTCTAAAGATACATCATTTCCTCCTCTTTGTTTGCTGCAGCCCTAGTTGCATGGTGGTATAGATCCTGCATTCAGTCCTTTTCCCAAATCCATGTGAAAACCTTCCACCAAGCTCACAAACAGACCCATCAAGTGCCAGAGCCAGCAGACACAAGAGGCTGGGAACAAAACCCACCCCTTTAGGCCATGCTTAGCGGTTCTGTAGGCTCATCCTCCCCGTGGAACCACCCTTCGAGTCACGGTCACACCACACCACACCCCCAGGTAGAAAGGAGCATGTGAGAGTGAGCATACAGGGAATGTTAGTGGGGGAGAAGAGAACACTCTCCTCGGAAGCAACAGAGTCCAACACCGGATCAAATCAAACCTGCAGCCACAGCATTGCACATGAGGAGGCAGATGGTTCAAGTCTACAGTAACACAGGTAGGGACTGTCCACAGCTAACGGTTTCCTTGCGCCATGATTCCAAGGCAACATGCTCTGGCAGTTCTTTGCTGAGACTTTTCAGCACGCCAAGGCAAAAATTAATCTTTCAAAAATAAAGTGAACTTTTTTTTTTCTGCAGTGTCCACACACAGAAATAAATGGCTCAGAGAAGGGACTGGTGAACACTACTGAGGAGAACCGACAGTGACATGAAAAAGCAGAACCCAATGTTTACATCAGTTTGGGATGTTGCAAAGTTGTTAAATAAGATGGGATTTTTCTTCTTCCAACTGCTCTTATAGCCTTTACATATTTTTAAAACAGGTATGTATTTCTTACAGAAATATACTCCACTTTTGATTTGGGGCATTTTGCACGAATCTAGTAAGCCTGAGCTGAAAACCACTACAGGATGAGAGAAATTTAGGCTGAATATTTCAAGAGAATCTTTAACAGTGACCTGCACCTGCATTTAAAACTTAAAACTGTAATAACTCATACTCAGCAGAGACTTGTATAAACAAGCAGAAGGCTGCAAGTGTGTTAGCACCATTACACTTCAGCTGGGAAAACAGTACAAAGTGTTCAGGATCTTCACCTCTAGACAGAGCAAATGTGCAAGTAACTGAAAGGTGACAGGTTCCCAGACTCCACAAGATGAGCCACGATGCTCCACACTTTGGTAACTCCTCTCTGCTTTTTTGGTTCTTCCCATTTAGTGGTATCTGGATGCAAACGTTGGCAGATCCTTTAACCATACATGTAAATAACTTACTGGAGATTTATACAAAAGGATTAGTGTTCAGGAAATGAGGAGCAAGAAACAGCGGCAGAGGGAAGTTTGCATGACACCTAATAGCCTTGAAGAAGACAGCTGCTGGCAGCAGGGCACAATCCACGCACTGTTAAAACAAAAACCTTCGTATCTGGCATACCTGAAACGTCTTTGGAATTCCTCCAACATTGTAGTGAACCACTAGACTCACTTTGTTGTCCTTCTCCACGATTTCAAAGCTCCCTTCTTTCCACTTTGTAATCCCAGTCTGCATGCTGCGCATCCGGACAGGTCCGTGCACCTTGAGCAGTGCCATGGCTTCTCACGGAAAGGAGCCAACAGGAACAAGTGAACTCCACCTGAAAAGCCTGTTGGAAAGGAGAAATGTGTGACTAGGCAGGGCAAACTGTGGCTAAAGGAAGACACAAGTGTGGCTGCAACTTTCTGTAGAAGTTGGTAAGAATCTTTTGCTGTCGTTTTCCAACAGAGAGAGGAGGAGTTGGACAGTAGCAGAGGAAACTTGGATTAATAAAATCACTCCCAGTTTGGGCGGCTACGCGCTAAGCCCACACTGTTGGAAGGGGAGCAGACACACTTTCAGACAGAAAAGTTCTTGCAAATGCTTAAAACAACTTCGGCGGATTTAAGGGGATAAAGAAAAGCGCCCGAGGAAAGTCGGGAAGGGCCGAGAAGCAAAATTTAAGAAGCCTAAGAGAGGCAACGACCTCTTTCCGGACGGGACGGGACCGCGGCCCCCCGCAGGGGCCTGGCCGCGGCT